TTTATTTTTATTTTTATCTCCATCTCATCTTCTGGCTACGGCCTGCGTTTGCCGTTGGCCTCTGCCGGAGTAGCGCAGCCGGGAAAAAGTAAATACTTCGTAAATAAACCTTTCCGCGACTTCCACCCCGAAGAATCCGAAACCGAATCTCTTGAAACGGCTGCTCAAACACCAGGCCGGTCTGCCCAGTCAAGCCGATCCATTACGTGGTTAAGAAGTTTCGGTAAATCACATGGCCTCGCGCTGAACTCTATATCAAGTCTTTTTCTTTTTTCTTTTTTCTTTTTTCTTTTCTTTTTTTTTTAATACTTTTTACTTTTTTCCTTTTTTTAAAAAAAAAACTTTTTTCTTTTTACTTTCTACTTTTTACTTTTTTTTTTCTCCTTTTATTCTTCTTTCCCTTCTTGGGTCAACGACCCCTTTTTTGTGCGGTCGGATCGCCAGCTTGTACGGAAAGGAGCACGGCATGCCGTAAGTGTACATACACCTGCACATTATAATCGCGTGGCGCGGTTCCCACGGGGGGGGAGGGGATCCTGAAGTCCTGTAGGGCTTAGCGAGTAATAATATGAAATAAGAAAAACAAGAAGGGGTTTTGCTCGTTTTGCTCCGAGGTGTAAAACAGAGTCGGTCAGAGGCGGTGAGTCAGTAAGTAAACAAGAGAGTCGGTAGATGTAGTATCTGACCAACCTCGGAGTCCTTTACTGAACCTAATAAGATAACTACTAGCTCTAGGTACCTAGGAATTCTTTCCCCTCCGACTGGATTCTATTCTCTCCGAGCTGCGAAAGCGAAGAAAGGATCTGCTGCTGATGTGATCTTGATGTGATAGCTGAAAACGAGTACAGCAAGGACCTAACAAGTCAGTCACGCAGGGCCACGATGGGTAAACGCCGAAGGGGCTCTACAGTACCGTATCTACCTAGGCAGGGCTTACTCCATCCGCGTCATCTGCCTTCACCCCCACAGGCCACAGCTTATCCCCGTATTCTTACCCCACGACCCCACGACCCCATGCGGCCCTTTTCCCCCCCAGTCTCGGCGGCATCGTGGCACGGAGTACAATGCAGACCGCAAGCACACCGCCGCAAGTACTGCAAAGAATTAAGGCACCGAGCCGGTATCACAACCCATCACGAGGACACTGCTCCCATACCATTCGCAGTCCCGTCCAACAACAACGTACGTAGTATCACGCGCACGCACCGGGCTTCGGACCATGCCTGTCGAGTCCCCTTGCCCGGCTTACGAGGCCACGATTTGCATTACTCATCTCAACCCATCTCATCATCATCTTATCATCCCATATTTTTCTTATTTCAATTATTCAATATTATCTAAATTCTTTTTATGATTTTCTCACCATGCCACACCTCGATGATGATCAGATCAACTACTATTTGATTTATTTTTATTGATTTTTTTTTTTCTTTTTCCGGTTCGCGGTACGTAATGGATTATTAATTACTCTTTTTCTGAGGGAAGTTTAACGTCGCGCTCTGCCCGGCCTGGCCTGGGTACCTGCCTCCGCGCTGCGCACGGAAGAGAGAGAGAGAGAGAGAAGGAGAGACGGCACGTGTTACGCGGAGAGGCGCATTTGGATTTCCGCCGAAGATAGATCTACCTACCTACCGAGCGATAGACAGTCACCATGGCATCTCGTGACGATCGATCGGCTGACTTACCGGTACCGTACTCCGTGCACACACACTCTCTCTCTCTCTCTCGCACGTGCAAGCACCCAGCACGTCGTCCGCTCTTCAGACAACACCTCTCTCTCTTCCTTTTCATCCCATCTCACCTCGTCTCGTCTCTTCTCTTTCTATCTCATGTTTCTCTGCTACCTCCCTAGCACTACCTAGGCAAGTACCGGTAGCATATCAGCTCTGCATCCCCGATCCTTGCTCGCATCACTTTCACGTGCCTGTCCGTCCGTCCCCCCTCTCTTTTCACATGTGAATACCGGTATGTGAAAAAAATGGCTTTGGTTGAGTCCTTAGGTACCGGTACGTACATAGATAGGCAGGTAGGTCCGTAGGCCAGGTAAAATAAATCCGATACCAGCTGATGCGAGGCGGGATTTCAGATCTGGATCCCGATTTTTGCGCATTTCCGATTTTTCGCATTGCAGATGCGCGGGCGGGCCTAGCTCGCTGGGCTAGGCGGCGGCTGAAACTTCTTGCGCTCTCTCTCTCTTCCTCTTCCTCTTCCTCTCGCGCGCGCGCGCTCTCTACATTATACAAATAGATAGTAGCGCTACGCATGAACGGGCGAACCGATACGAGAGGATCGTGACTCTCTTCCTTGATCGACGGTCGCGTGAGGGAGAGAGGAGGATTCATGCCTTCGCGTGAAACCGAGAGGGTGTGGGTAAGGTAGGTAGCGGTAGATAGATAGGTAGATAGATAGGTAGATAGATAGGTAGATAGGGAGATAGGTAGAGCCCTTTTTGATCTATCCAGGCCGGGGAATATCGACATGCATCGTGCCACGCACGAGGTGAGGCGTTTCTCATCTCTAGCTACCTATCTGACATCTACAGGATCTGGGTACTAGGAAGGAAGGTGTGAATATAAGGTAGTCGGGCAAGTAAAGCAGGCAAAACCCGCACAGAAAAAAAAAAACCACACGCTTTGAAGCGTTCTGGAGAAGGATCTTCGCGATTGGGATATACATATACATATACATATACATATACATACTTAGATACATAAGATATAGATATAGATATATAAAACACGTGTAAATATAAAAACGCCATTGCAGAAACCCCATCATGATATTTCTTTTCCTGGCTTAAACTTTCTTACAGGGAGCTTTCTCTCTCTTCCCTCTTTCTCTCTCTCTCTCTCTCTGTGGGGAAATCATTCCCTCCCTCCTCACCTCTCGGACGAAATTTAAAAAAAAAAAAAAAAAAAGAACCCCCTGACTAATCAGCTAGTACGTACCAATCAGCACAAGCTAGTTCATTCATCATCCATCCATCCAACGCAGAGCCCGACCCGCCCCCCCCTCCCCCCCCCCTCTCTGGTCCGAAATGGTGTGTGTACCGTATCCGAAATCATGCGGTTCGCGATTCGGGTAGATCCGTTTCACGCGCGCATTCGCGCATGGCTGGCTGGCTTAGCTGGCTGGCTCTGCGGGCTGGTAGTCATCAGAGATAGAAGAGAGAGGGCTCGGTGGGATCGGTGGGATCGGTAGAAGGGAGCGGGGGGCCGTGCCGGGTTTCGAAGATGGAGCGAGTGCTGAAACGGTCGTCGCGGTGTGGTGTGGTGTGGTGTGGTGTAGGTAGTATACAATGCCGTGCTGGTTGGTATAGGTGAGGTAGGTAAGGTAGGTAACATAGACAGACAGACACCCGTGCGGTAGAGCGCGAGATAGAAACGGGTGCGGTGGTGAAAGTCGGACTTCTTTTGGGGTGTCTATTTGCTACGTGCGTACTTACTTACTGTACCTGTGCTTGCAAGTACGACTTCGTACACTCTAGTTACACTCACTGTCCGGCATCGGGAGGGGGGCACCGTTACCGACGTCTCGGAAGCGAAGAGCGCGCGCGGGAGGCGTTGATCTGGAAGGAAAATGATAGGCGGGATCCCGACGGTGGGATGGGTTTCGTCTCGATGCATGAGGCCTCGATGCTTGTTGTTCGAGGTGCCTACCTACTGCAGGGCATCGTTCTGATCATCACCGAGACGGAATTTCCATGAGCGTTGATACCCGACGGAGCAACGCTACGGAGTAATGCCTATCAGCATCCTCGCGCAGACCAGCCGTACGGGTGTCCAGTCCCCAGGACGACGGAAGCAGCTACGGAGGAGCTGTAAGTAGTAGTACTACTATCTGTTTCGCGGATAAACATCCCGAGATTAAGGCCAGTCCCGATGATCGCAATCACAGTCACAATCACTAATCCCCTATCCCTATCCCTATCTCCATCCCCATCCCCATCCCTACCCTTAACCGTCAGCGGCTATTAAATAAATCAATCAATCAATAAATAAATCAGAAAAATCCAAGTGCAGAGAGGGAAAAAGAATCCTGAATATTCAGAAATATAAAATCCCCAGCCGTGAAGAAAGAAGAAGGCGGAACATGCATGTATGCATGGGTGCATGGGCTGCATGGGGTGCATGGGGTGCATGCAAGCTCTTTCCCAACCAATTTCCAACCCCTGAACCCCTGAAAAGAGAAGGAGAGGAGAGGAGAGGAGAGGAGACCCGGTACAGTGTAGTAGCGCAGTAGCGCAGTAGCGCAGTACGTACTGTACAGTACAGTAGTACTACCGGTACCGGTACTGTACTAGGTAGTTGCAGTTGCAGTCCCAACTGCCAAACGATTGCGACCCAAACGCAGGGTCCAGCCCCGTCCCTGCCCCTGGCCAATCCACAATCTTCGTCTTTAGACTTTCTTCTTCTCCTTCCTTTTCGTCTTCTTTTTTTCTCTCGTCCCCCTCGTCCCGGTTTCCCGCCGGTTTCCGGGGATGTCAGATCCAGGTCCAGGTCCAGGTCCGGGTTTGGGTCTGGGTCTGGGTCTGGGTCCAGGTTCTGGTTCAGGTCCAGGTCGTGGTCGTGGTCGTGGTCGTGGTCGTGGTCGTGGTCGTGGTCCTGGCCCGGGCAGACGGAGGAAGCGAAAAATCAAAATCAAACCCTGATCCTGTCCCGCGGAAGCCGGGACGGGGAAACCGCTGGGTGTACTAGTACTTACGCACATGGCGGAGACGAGACGAGACCAGACCAGACCAGACCAGCCTAGAATCCAGATCGGTTCTGGCTGGCTGGCTCTTTGCAACGGATAAAGAGACCCGCAATACTGTACCTCTTCTTTTTTTTTTTTTTTTTTTTTTTGTTTTTTTTTTTTCTTTTCACAATGCATGGCGTAGCACGGCATTGCTGAGTAAATCAATATCCACCGCCACGGCGAACGGAGGATAGAGAGCGGTGGCGGCAAAAGGTTTGAGGCAAGAGGAGGAGGGAAGGATCTGTGCCAGGCGCTTCTTCTTCTTCTTCTTCTTCTTCTTCTTCTTCCTCTCATCTGCTGACCTCACGCTTACGTATACAACCCCCTCCATATTTAGCTATAGCTCTAATGCAATAAACGTAACACAAGCTGATAAGTATTAACACACACACCCTCTCTCTCTCTC